GACAAGCACTAGCAACGTTGTCGATAAATCACTCCGCGCCGGGAATATTTTCGGGAGGAAAATTCTCGCGCTTCGTCGGCTAACTACGATTTTATTATTTCTCTTGTCTATGTAATAGTTATTCCGGGTTTAAAACTCATAAGGAAATAGGTTCCGTGCGTTTTCTTGGCCATCAGGGCGATGGGACTACTTTTAATCATTTGACCAGTGAGCGGAGGCGGCAAATAGCGCTGTGTGATGCGTCATAGGCATTCTATACAATTCCCGTTTTTCAATTAGCCGATCCGTTTACCTCCCTGACGCAATTACGAAAGAAAAACAAGCCAAGTGCAGATTTCTAGCGGCTTTAACGCAAAAGCTAAAAACGCGAACGGCAAGCATTTGGCGCTACACACTTCCCCCGTAACCACACCACTAACGTTAACCCTCGGAGAAGGCGTAAAATTTTATTTCCAAAATCTACAGTATGAAAATTGCCGAGTCCAATTTGCCATGGGGTGAGCCTACTGACGTCAGCTACAGAAAATCCATTGCGTTGATACCCGGCAGGTTCAGGACAGCGGAAAATTGTATCCACAATTTTAACCGGGTTCTAGACGTCGAAACTGCATCATTTTAATTTTCCCACACTGCGTTAAAGCTATGTGGTCCGTGTATTGTAATAAAAGTTGAGGCCCAGTTAAGAAAATGTGGTATTGGACATTCTATATTGCTGCGGCTGTTCCCGTTATAAACCGCACCCCCCGAGCAGACGAATGCGCCAAAGTTCGCTCAGTGTCTCTCAGTTCATGAGTCTCCGCGCGCACCCGCTCGCACTGTTGTACGTGCGGTGCAGCGCGGTTGCCGGGAGACTAGCAGCAGATGTCGTTTTTATATGCGCACGGCAAGGCAAACAGGCTAGGCGCGGAAGGCGCGCTTGTTGTGATGATGATGAAAACCGATAACTACGTCTATGCTAGGCTCACGAAGTTCCTGCCCGCGCTAAATCTACGGCGCCTCTGTCGCCTCCCCCGCCCCGTCACGAACCCTCCCTACGCCCCGTGACAGCCCCCAGACGTCCCCCGCTCGTAGCAACCTACCCACCCCCCGCGTCCTTGGAATTCGAACGTCGCCCATTTGTTGCCGACCCCTCTGCGAATAGGTTTCGATCGCCCCTACGCATCTGCGACTGTTGAAATCACCTGGAAACGCCGAAATAGTTTCATATTTCCCGCCTTCTCACGCCGGTTCGGCCGCTGTTAAAAATCCGGCGCGTGGGAACGACGGAGGACGCGGAAAAACTAGAATCAGCGCAATTCGTGGCCGCATCGGGGACTGTATACTCATTGAGACAAAGCGTTCGAAATGCGCCGTAGATCGGAGTAGCCCTCTCCGGGATCGTCTCCCGCCCCCGGCGCATCACCGACGATTCTGCCGGACTGTCCGAGTCCGGATTCATCCATTCTCGACCGGATTTTGTCGGAATTTCGTACGAAAAAGAGAAATAGGGAAGAGAGCGAGAGAGGCCTAATGCGCGTCATTATTACCCGAGACGTAATATTCCGTCGAGAAAATTATCCACTCGCATTTCGGCGTTTCGGACTCGACTCGGACGTCGGATCGTGGACGACATGGCGATCCCGTCACGTGATAACGTCGTCGCCTGTTCTACGGGGCGGGAAGAATTTTTTAAACGGGGGTTTAGGGAAACGATGACGGTGACAACATATATCCTAGCTCATGCACTCCATTCTGTACAGTCACTGAACGCGTGTATGTGTGCGTCCACGACGTCAAGGTGGGTGTGCCTGGGAGAGAGAGCGAACAAGAAAGAAAGAAAGGAGAGAAGGGGAGAGCGAAAATACGAGACGCATATACATATGCACACGCACGCACGCGCACACGCGCACACGCGCTCATGAACGCACACCCGCCTGTCGTACAGTGAGATATATGCAGTGCTCAGCGGCGGTACGGCCGGTTGGTTGCCGCTCGTGCTCTATATGTATTGCATGGGACTCGAGCTGTAGTGCGTCCGTGCGGTACGTGCGTGCGTGCGTGTGTGCGTGCGTGCTTCCGTGCGTTCGTGCGTGCGTGAGCGTGTGTGCTTACTTGCGTGAACTCGTATATATAATACACACACGCGCGCACGCGCGCACGCACGCACGCAGGTACTTATGCACCGCACGTACACACACGCGCACGTACGCACGCACACGCCCGCACGCACGCACGCACACCAATAATATATATATATACACTATATTATATATATGTATATATATATATCCTTCGAGTCCCCGAACAGCCCAAAGTCAAATAAAATGTATTCGACTCCCTCGTCACAGTATCATGGGAGTGAATAAGATAGAGGGAGACACCATCTATCGTGCCGCCGTCGTTCGCCCGTCCGCGCGCCGCGTTTCTTTTGCATAAACGCCTAAACTGGCCGGAAGAGGGCATGAACAGTCGCACATGGATTTCCTGTGGGTATATGCATTCATGCATATATAATATTATCAGGAGTAGATAATAGTATAGCGTATTAGTATATTTATCTATATTTCTCTCTCTCTCTCTCTCTCTCTCTATATATATATATATATAAGAGAGCATTGAGAGAGAGAGAGGCGAAGTGAGAGAGAGAGAGGAGATGTAGACAGATGAGCGAGCAGAGATTGTTTTGTTGATTTTTTAGAAGGCGAGGCACAGAGAGATGAGAGTGGAGAGAGAGAGAGCAGTAGCGAACAGGGGCTGGAGAGAGAGTAGACCGAGTACACGAGATGATCGAGACTGATTCAGAGAGAGCAGCAGATGTGAGAGACAGAGAGGGGCCGAGAGAAGAGAGAGATAGAGCAGTCAGAGAGGGCTCGCAGCTGCGAGAACTGGATGGATGGATGGATTGATGGGCCTGGTTGACTGCCCGTGGACTGGACTGATGGACTGCATGTGATGGCATCGGATATGCGCATGGGATGGTGGATGGTGGTGTGGATGGTTGGCTCTACCGCTGGGCTTCCATGGATGCGATGGCACTGGCATGCCGACTGCGATGTGGTTTGGCATGTGCACATGGGATGCGCAGTGCGCTGCATGGTTCATTGGTATTGCGGGTGGATGGGATGATTGGAGGGATGGATGATGGATGTATGGATGGTATTGTATTATGGGGATGGATTTGGATGCGATGGCATGTCGTTTATGGATGGATGGATGGCTATGGTGGTTGCATGGATGGATGGCATGGATGGATGGGATGGATGCGCAGGGATGGAGGCATGGATGATGCGATGGATGGATGGGATGGATGGATGGATGATGATGGATGATGGTGGTATGGTGGTGGATTTTGATGGGATTGGATGTATGGATGGCATGGATGGCATGGCATAGGCACTGTGACTGATGGATTGGAATGGATGGATGGATGGGTGGATGGTAGTGATGGATGGATGGAATGGGTGATCTATGTATTTATATGGTTTGTGATGTGGCATGCGATGGATTTTTTTGGATGGTATGGATGGATGTGATGATGGATGCGATGGTATCATGGAGTTGGCATGTTGTATGGAGTTCTTTTCGATGGTGGCATTCTTTGTTTATTTTGTGGTAGGATGGATGCGAGGGGATGGATGGATGCGTGATGGATGCGTCTATGGTGCTGGATGGCTGGATGCTATGGATGGTTGTTATGGATGATGGATGGATGGATGGATGGGATGCTCTATGGATGGATGTATGGGTTTGATGGGTTTGTGGATGGATTTGGTTGTTTTGGATGCGTGCGATGCGATGTGGTCTGGATGGATGATGGATGGATGGATGAGATGTCCTTTATGTTATGGATTTTGGATGGGTATGTGATGTGTTGGTGGGTATGGAATGGATGGCTATGATGGGGTGGTTATGTGCATGCGATGGTATGGTATGGGATGGATGGATATGGCATGGCTATGGCTAGGATGGATGGGATGGATGGATGATGGACTGGTTTGATGGTTATTTTGGATTTTGTGTTATGGTATGGTTTTATGCGTTGGGTGATGGATGGTTTTTTGGCACTGAGATGGAATGATGGTTTTGGATTGGATTGGATTTGGATGTCGAGCGATGTGTATGGATGGATGCGATGGATGGTATTTTGGATGGCATGGATGGTATTGATGCGATGGATATGGATGGATGATGAGATGGAGTGGGATTTGGGATGGATGGATGATGGATGGAATGGGTGGTGGAGGATGTTTGATGGACTGCGGGTTATGGTTATGTTGGATGGTTGATGTCACCAATCCACCTGACACACTCCTACCCCACCCCCCGTCCACCACCCTCACCCCACCCCACCACCCACAACCCACTCACCCTTTATCCCACCACCACTCTCCCACTTACACCCTCTGCTGTGTACCACCCTGCCCCGTCCACACCCCACCCATCCCACCCATTTCCATTCACCCCACCCATCCACCACCCTATCACACCACCACCACCTACACTCACCCCAGCATTTTTTTCATCACTTAGTTCTGGCCTTGAACATTATAGTTGATTTTTTATCAGAACGAAATAGTCCCTTCTAATTGTTTTAGCTCTTTCAGATATGTTACCTCTTTGCCCACCCTCTTGACAGCCGTTGGGATGTTTACTACCACTTTTTCGCATTGACACTCAAGACAACTCGCTAAGAACCCGTCAACCCTACGTATGAGCAGGCCCTTCTATTGAACGTAGAATTTGTTCAAGGCAGCGACGAGCTCTTTGTTGAGATCTTTTACGCCCATCATATAGCCTGTTGTCGGTCCGGGGGCACCGGGGTTTGTCTTTTTTTCTTGGTCTTCTTGTTATAGAAGATGAGAGAGAGAGCAGCAAAAAAAAATAGAGAGAGAGGAGAGAAAAGAGAGAGAAGATGGAGAGGTGAGAGCGTAGCGAGGAGAGAGAGAGAGCAGAGAGAAAGAGAGAGAGAAGAGGTAGGGGGAAGGAGAGGGGAGGAGGGGGTTAGGGAGAGAGAGAGAGAG